AAACGAAGGAATGACCTCAGAAACTCCCTGCACTTCTTTATTCTTTAAATAATATGGGATTGTTCTGTCTTTTAATTGGTTTTTATTTGATCATTCTCATGATCAGAGTGAGCAGGAGCTTAGTAAGAACCAAGCCTATTTGTCGAAATCTAAAGTAAAATGGAAAAAAAAAGGGAATTCGATTGGATTGGTTAATTGTATTATAGGTAATATTTATTTGCTTCAATTATCTTGAGATTAGAGGTTTGTATTTGCAGCTAAGTAAAGTGGAACCTCATCATTTTATATGGTGTATATTTGCGGTCAAAAGAAATAAATAAATTAATAAAAAAAATGACATGATTTGGGAAAAAAAAAAAATATATATATATATACATAGCCTATATATTAATTATTAAAGTCGCACCGCAGCGTGTTGTTGAGTTTATTTAAAAAGATAATTGCAGTTCGAATTCATAAAGAAAAGTTAAAGGATTTGGTGCGACACTTTTATTCAGCCCAATGTTCACACAGGGGCGAAACTAGGGAGTTTGGGAAAGTGGGGTGCAAGTAAAGGTGGAGTGGCATACCACAATCAAAGCCAATGATAGCAGACCTGTAAAGGTTTCATTGGGAACTTTGCAATTATGGAATTTTATAATGCATTATTTCTGTATCTTTCAATTAACAAACTTGATATGTTATGTCAGGACCCTCGTTAATTACTGAACATGATTTTGAAATAATGTTTATCTAATTTTTGCAATGAAAACAATAAGATTCACAACAGTTCTTGGCTGTTGAAGTAATGCACTGTATATGCGAATGTAGAGTTAGCACTTCTGCAATGCAGGATATTTTAAAACATGTTACTGTAGATTTATAATGTATTCTAAATTCTGAGATATTGTAATTTGAGTGACGGTAATAACAATAGGGATTGTTTTGCTCTAATTACATAATTAAGTGAAAATTGGTGGTTTTCTTGACAAGTTAAATATTTTTGTTGCATGTTATTCTTTAATTCCTTATATCAGCATTTCATTTTATTTTTCATTTTTTGTAGCATAAAGGCGCCAGATTGTCATTACAACTTGAATCATTTAAGCTTTCACAGACTCCAATTCAACAGTAGATCCCTTTTGAACTTTGTTTTATTATTGTTATACATTTTGAATGCTCTAATAAGCCTCAGTTTTCCTTACTGTAAAACTTTGTTTAGGATTATACCATTAAAAAAATTGGCCATTTTGCCATTAAAAACAACTGTTTAAATACAGGAGCTAATGCATAACCTCTGACACTAAGTTGTTTTATTTCACAATTAAACGATTTGAAACACAGTCGTCAAGCACGAAAAATATCTAAATAAAAACATAGAACAGATTTTGTTGGATACAACAAAAATTTAAGGGTTTAAAATATATTACATTTAAATCCAATTCCTGTATCATAGTATCAGCTATTTTGGGATATCATCTTCCAATCAAATATCAGT